TAGCTGGAACTACAGGCACACGCTACCACGCCTGGCTAATTTTTGATTTATTGTAGAGACAAGGTCTGGCCATTACCCAGACTGGTCTCAAACCTGTGGGCTCAGGCAATCCACTCACTTCGGCCTCCCAAAAGTGCTGGGATTATAGGCTGAGTCACTGAGCCCAAGCCCAGCCAAATTTTATTTATTTTTTGAGCAACAGGGTCTCACTATGTTGACCAAACTAGTCTGGAACTCATGAGTTTTTGTTTTTTTTTTGAGTTGGAGTCTCACTCTGTCACTCAGATAGGAGTGTAGTGGCCACTCCCGGCCACTGCAGCCTTGACCTGCTGGGCTCCGGCGATCCTTCCCCCTCAGCCTTCCAAGTAGCTGGAACTACAGGCGCGCGCTACCACGCCCGGCTAATTTTTGGTTTATTGTAGAGATGAGGTCTCGCCAAGTTGCCCAGGCAGATCTCAAACCCGCAGGCTCAGGCAATCCACTCACCTCAGCCTCCCAAAATGCTGGGATTACAGGCTGAGCCACTGAGCCTGGCTCTGGAACTCATGAGTTTAAGTAATCCTCCCTCCCAGCCTCCTGAGTAGCTGTGACAACAGGCAAGTGCCAATACACCCAGTTAATTTTCTATATTTTTTTAAAAGACAGTGTCTCACTATGTTGAGCAGGCTGGTCTTGAACTTTGATCCTCCCACCTTGGCCTCCCAAAATCCTGGGATTACAGCAGCCGAGTCAGGACCAGACTTTAGATCTCTTGACTATAGCCATCCTCTGGCTACCCCATGATAGTGCCTGTTCACTAGTAAGGAGGAGCCTGGCCAGGGCCCCTAGGCCTGGTCCCAGCACCAGGACCATACCATACTGCTCCTGTTTGGAGAGACCACCATCCCTGACTTTGGAGGTTGCAAGGAAGAGCAGAGGTAAGTGTGCAAGGACATCCAAGAAGCAGAACGGAGCTGCCTCTGGGTACCCTGAGAGAAGACGGCATTTCCCTACTGCAGTGTGGGAGAAAGTGCATGAATCCAGCCTTTAGTGCGTGACCCCTCTGGTTCAGAGCAAAAGGACGTAAGGGGGAGAAGGGGTTGGTGCCAGCTGTCCCCTTGGACCCTGCTGGGCCCTACTTGAAAGGTCTCTTTCTCACATCCTGTGGTGGCCAGTCCTCACTGCCCATCTCACTGAGAGAAAGTGCCACCCAAGGGTCTGGAAACTGGTCAGTCCAGCCTCACTCACGGGAGGGGGGCTTCAGGACATAAGGCCCTGGTGGTGCTGTCTTGGACAGCAGGAGGAGAGGGAACTGCGGGGGCTGAGCCTGCCCGGCCCACTTCCTTGGTGAGGAGGTCAGGTCTGCTAGCTCCACAGCAGGAGGAGCCAGGGCACAACGATCAGACATGGCTTTTCCTTAGGTCATGGACAAACCCCACTCTCAATCTTCACTGGGCCCTGAGTGTCTCATCACAGGAGCCAGATTTCCTTCAGAGTACCGCAGGTTTGAGATAGAAAAGGAGTTCTGGAGGAAGGAAGGCCAACAAGAGCAGGAAAGGGGCAGCCTCAGGACAGGGAAAGAAACCTCTGCAACAAAGCAGCACTGGGGTGGGTGCCCGGGCACAGCCCCGTCAGATCCTGGGCTTTCAGGCAGGTGCCTGGGGCGGCGGCTCTGTTAAGGCTCCACCCTTGCTCCATGGCAGAAGCATCCCCTCAGCCCATCCCAGGGGCAGTTCTCTGAGAAAGGCACACCGTGTAAGCGATTACCTAGTTACACATGACACTGTGTTTTTTTCCTTTTGCTATAACCCTGGGCTTGTAGGAAAATCTGTTTAAAATTCTGGCCTTGACTTGGCCACGCCAGGGTCTACCTTCAGGCCAAGGCGGTGAAGGAGGGCAGTGCTCCCTGGGGCCTGCCGGATGGCAGGACAGTGATGGGTTCCAGGGAAGGCAAAGACGACTTGGGCTGCACCCCACCCCTAAATGCAGAGGGCCAAGGTTCTTGCTCCTCTCAGGTCCCTTTTGGCATCTGGGACTCCAGCCATCCTGCTACTGTCTTTAACAGAGCATCCATCCCTGGCAACTTTAAATTCGGGGCCGGTGCTTCTTGGAGAAGAAAAAGAAATGATTATAGACTTGTTGCAAAAACCACAACTGTCTCGAATGAAGCCCTTTCCTGAGAATGAAGCCCTCCCTCAGTTAGGCCTGCCCCACCACATGCCAGAAATACACCAGATTCCATAAGACGATAGCATTCACTGAACCAGAATTTAAAAATAATTATATTAATAATAAATAGGTTAAATTACATTTAAAACAATAAATAGAAAAATAAACTGATAAATAAAATCAACAGGTACAAAATGTTTCAAAATTCCAACCAAAAACAACACACACAGAGACAGCCAACGGACAAGACAAATGGACACAGGGAGGGTGCTAAACGCATCACGGGACCTTCACAGTCGGCGTCATGGCTCTGTCCTGCCTGTTCACCCCTTCCCTCCCCAGCATGGCGACAGACCAGGACACTCAGTGGCTGATGTCTTTGGGGACTCCCACCGCCCAGGGCAGCATCTGGTTCCACCTCAAGGCCTTCTGCGAAGCACCCCCAAACCCTGGGGAGGGGGTTTCAGAGGACGGCGTGTGGGGTGGAGGACAGTGAGGACCGGGGCGTCCCTACAGAGGCAGGTCGGTGCTGTTGTGCCGGGTTTTCCTGGCAGTGCCATCGTCTCGGGGCAGAGCCCTCTGCAGGTTGGACATGGCCACGGTCTTTTTGAGGTCAATCACGGCGTAGGAGTCTGAGCTTCGGGCAGGGTGGGTGGTGGGCACGGGGGCCTGGGGACCCGAGAGGTTCTGGGGCCCCTTGGGGCGGTCTCCACCCCAGCCCTTTAGCTCCACCTGGATGTAGTTGAGCTGCCTTGGGGGCTCGGGGCCCGGCCGGCGAAAATCGAAGTTAAAGACCCTTGGGGAGCCGCGGCGGCGGGTCAATGGCATGGGGAAGCTGCCGTGGCTGCGGATGGCGGCCTGGGTGCTGGTGGGCTTCTGCAGTGGGGTTTCGTCCTCCTCACCATCGGGAAAGCCATTGGAGGAGGGTGTGAGCCCATCCCTCGAGTCCCCATCATCTCCGGCCTCCCCGCCCAGCTGCTGGGCTTGGCTCTCCCACACTGGGGGTAGCGGGGGCAGGTTCTCGTAGTGCAGCAGGGCGGCCCGGCGGTGGGCAAGGCCTTGCCAGCCCGGCTCCTCCGGGCTCAGTCTCCAGCCGGCCCCGCGCCGCAGGCCCCCGCCGACGTTCTCGTAGGTGCACTTGGGCTGGGCTGGGCACTCGGAAGGGCCCTCGTTGTTGTTGTTGTGGTGGGGAGTGTCGTGCAGGCCGGGGCAGAGGCCTTGGCACTTCACCATGTGCCGCCGAGCAGGGGTTGGGCCCAGCACGAACTTCACCTGGCCCGGCTGCAAGAACACCTGCGGGTCCCGCTGGTTGGGGGCCCGGGCCTGCGGGGGGAAGGGCGCCTGACCCTCAGGCAGGGGCTGCAGGCAGTGGCGGCTCCTGTGGTGGTCATCCTCACTGGCCGGTGTGTTGACATAGGTGTGGGACTGGAGGGCAAGGGTCCAAGTGACACAGGAGGGTCCCAGGGCAGGGAGGAAGGAGAGAAGGAGGACAGTATGAGTGAAGAGAAGCACAGGAAGAGTTGGCGTTCCTTTCTCCTGGTCCTCCGAACCTCCCCAGGAAGCTGCCTCCCTTTCTAGGGACTGCAGGGGACCCCATCACTTTTCTTCCTCTTTCCATGATCCTCACTGGGAGGAGGTGGCCATGTTACCCACGTCCCATCCCCACCCAGACCACTGGGCAGAGGCTGGCCGGCTGTGTGCTCACCTGCTCATCGGGGGCAATGAGGGCATGGGTGGACTCTTCCCCCAGCGAGGGGTGCCTCAGGCTGCTCGTTGAGAGCCGCCGGGGAGCTGAGAATCGGGAGACCTCTCCAGGGCAGCCATTGGAGAAACTGGAGACAGTGTAGCCTAGAGCTGGGCATAGGGAGACAAGACCAGGGAGGAGTACTTCAGCCACCTGACAACCATCTGCACCGCGTGTGGCGTCCTGGGACTCTGCCCCCAGAAATGTTCTCAGGACCCTCACGGTGGTCAGCCCCACTGAACCAGAAGCCCCTTGTTGTCCTTCACCTCTCTGTTCTATAAACCCTGTCCTTTTCCTCAAAGCTCAGCTTGAAGCCCACCCCTCACCTTCTCCCTAACAGTCATATCTGGAAGACCTAAAGCATACCTGTCGTCACTGGGCCATCCCTGGGCCTCATTCTAGCTCTGCCAGTGAGCTTCAGGGAAGTTCCTCAAAACAGGGGTTGTGTTCCTATTTCTTTGATCCCTCATGGGCCAGCCTAGGGCACGCAGAACACTGAGCAGGTACTGGGTCTGGACTCAGTGACTGAACAAGCAGAGACTGTAGGAACCTGTCCAGAATACAGTCATGGCTAGAGATGCCTGCGCCAGCAGCCAGATGGGTATATGAGTCTGACCAGTAGACAGAGGAAGGAAGCACAAAAGCTCCAGACAGCTGTTTCTATGGAAAGCCAGCATCTTCCTGTCTGCTCCCTGACCATCCGTCGATACAAGGTCTAGGCCTCAGCGGCCTCCGCCTGAGCCACCTGATTGGCCTGGCCCAGGACTTTTGCATCCTCAAGAATGGTTCTACCTTGGACAACTGTCCTGGAGACTGGCTCGCCCAGCCTTCCCCACCACCTGCCGGCTTGTCTTGCCCCTCCGAGGCTTGTGTATCCCGGGTCTGTACTCGGGTGTGTGTATACACTGGGATGCTGAGGTTGGAGGTGCCCTCACCATTGGGCGGCTGGGGGCCCCGAGAGAGGTCAAGGTCAGCAGGGTGGCTGTTACGGGTGACGATGACTGGCTCTTCCATCACGTTGATGCTGTTGCACTGCATCAGATCCTGAAGGAGGTTGAAGATTTCCTCAGCCCGGGAGCACTTGAAGGCAAATATTCCTGGAGAAGGAGGGGAGAAATGAGGCTCCTCTGGCCCTGGGCCCAACAGGGGAAGACCAGAGGAGGGCACCAGGTGCACAAAGAGCAGGCAACGCCCCTGCCTCCAGCCCAGGCCTGTGGGGGGCAGGAGAGTGCTCCTCCTCCGAGAAGTCCTTCCGGTGCACTCTAGAATTCACGAGCTGCTAAAGGGGTGGGCCCAGGAGCCCCGCCCCACACCCATGCTATCCATTACCATTGCTTGAACACTGCACGCTCCAGCTACACTCCTGTGAGGTGAAATCCTTTCCGTAGCCGGGCGCAGTAGCTCAAGCCTGTAATCCCAGCACTTTGGGAGGCCGAGGTGAGAGGATTGCCCGCATCCTGGGGTTCGAGATCAGCCTGGGCAACTTGGTGAGACCTCATCTATATAACAGATCAAAAAATTAGCCAGGCGTGGTGGTGTGTCTGAGGTTCCAGCTAAGGCAGAAGGATCACCTGAGCCCAGCAGGTCAAGGCTGTGATGGCTGTGAGCGTGCCACCGCACTCCAGTCTAGGTGACAGAGTGAGACTCTAACTCAAAAAAAAAGAAAAGAAAAGAAATCCTTTCCTTAAGGAGGTGTGTGTCCAGGGATCGAGAAAGAGAATAAAAACCAGCATGGAAAAGGAAAACATGAGTTGAGGGAACTGTCCCCCTCACATGCTGCTCATCGTCCTCTGCCTCTACTCCCTGCTTCCCTGCAAAAGCAGCTCCACTGGGCACCAGTCCTCTCTAGGCCTGGCAACGTCTAGGCTCTCTGAGGGCAGGAGGGTCCTGTTCTATTCACTGATGTTCTCTGAAGACTAAGCCCAGTGCCTGCCCAGAGAGTGGATGCCTATTGTATACAGGTCCCTGGCCTCACAGAGCTTACACTCTGGTGCAGGAAGGAAGAGAAGAAGGGCAAACAAGCTAACAGCAGGTGTGGGAAGGCATTCATGTGGCTCCTTGACGCAGCCTGCCTTCTGGGCTTTCAAAATCCAGCACTGCAGCTCAAGGTCCCGGAACAGCAGGACTGGGGCGATCACCTGTGATGTGGGTTCCAGGGGTACTGGTCAGCCAGGGATTCTGCACTACCCTCTGTAACAGTGGGACCTGGGACTTGGGGAGGCTACTTGGTGTGTTCAGGTACACATAGCCACAACTAAGATAAACAGGTTGGAAATGGGATAGCTATGGTTTGCAGGAATGGCATGAGAAGGATACAGAGAAGAAAAAGAATTACTCTGGCAAAATACGTCAAGGGCCAGAAAAGACTGGAGAGCTTAGAGTATCAGGGGAACACTTTGCTGGGGAGCCCAAGTGTAGACCAGACATCACCAGGAACAAGGGTGCCTTTTCCTCCTCACCCAGCCACAGTCTCCTACCTGACCTTTCTTTTTCATTTATTTAGTTTTGGTAACTAGAGGCAGAGTCTTGCTGTGCTGCCCAGGCTGGTCTTGAACTCCTGGCCTCAGTAATCTTTCTACTTCGGCCTCCCAAATTGCTGGGATTACAGTTACCGTGCCCAGCCCTGCCTAATCTTTCTTTCATTACTCCCAGGGTCCAGGGTGTACGACTTGGGAACTATGAAAAAGGTGTGTTCCTACCTAGGGAGTAATAGGGATCCCTGAAACCAGAGTAATGGAAGGAAGTGGAGTTGCTTGCTTTTGCCAGGCAGGCTCTGGCCTGGGAGGACCTTGGCTGTGCAACAAATGTCCCTTGGTGGGGACAAAGCCCAGACTGGAGTTGCAATGACTGAAGAGAAAGAGCACTACCCTAGAAGTCCATTTAGTTCTGCAATGACATGCTGTGTGCCCTTGGCCAAGACCCTTCCCCTCTCTGGGCAACATCTGCCAAATCTGAGGGCTGGGTTGGATGAGAAGACAACAAAGTTTCCCATAGTCCTCCGAACTGTACTTTCCAGACCCAGTGCATCTGCCCCATCCCAGGGTGGAACAGGGCCTGGTACTCACCCTGGCCTGTCTGACAGCGGCGGCCACTCTCAAAGGAGAAGAGGCTGGAGTCATAGCCGTAGCGCCGCAGGCAGAGGTAGGGCCAGCAGATGGCCTCGCGCCCATGCAGGTGCAGCACCAGCTCGCTCTGCGTCAGCTCCATCAGCCCAGAGCCCAGCTCCACCCCCTCATCATCCACATTGGTCACCTGGAGGAGACAGACCAGAAGGGCCAATGAGTGCGTGCAACCAGTGTTTGCAAGGGTTCCCAAGCCGCTGGGAGACAATCCGATGCAGGGCTAGAGCTGGAGACTCCAGCGAAGACCACACGGTTACTGGAAGATGCCCAAGGCAGTGTCACAAACCCACGACAGTTCTCAGGCAAATCCCTTCTCTCTGGGCCTCAGTTTTGTCATCTGAACAGCAAGGGAAGAGGTAGTTGACCTCCAAGGTCAGATGGTGAGATGACCAATATGAGATAACCTCAGATGGCCCCTGGCTTAGTATCCACGGCCCAGACGTTAATGGGGAAGGGATTCAATTGCAAATTCAAAATCTTAAATCCCTGGGAAAGTCGAACCCACAGCAGAACAAATACTGCCTCTTCCAACCAGCTCCTCCCCTACATGACCTTGCTGAGGGCTCCCTCTTCTGGTGGGCAGGAGAAACATGCGCCTGGACGTGACCCAGGCTGAGGAAGGAGGAGACTCCCCCTACAGGGAGGCTGGGGACCCACAGGTCCATTGGGCCTTTCCCTCAGCTTCCCAAAACCAGCAGCAACACTGAGAGCGATTACCTGTGCTAAGCACTATTTAAGATACTTTACATATATTAACTGACAAGTACAAAAGGTATTTTATAGGCCAGGAGCGGTCGCTCACACCTGCAATCCCAGCACTTTGGGAGGAGGCTAAGGCAGGAGGACTGCTTGAGCCCAGGAGTTTGACAGCAGCCTGGGCAACGTAGAGAAACTTTGTCTCTACAAAAATTCAAAAAATTAGCTGGGTGCGGGGGCACATGCCTGTAGTCCCAGGTACTAGGGAGGCTGAGGCAGAATGACTGCCTGAGCCCAGAAGGTCGGGGCTGTGGTGAGCCTAATCATACCACTGCACTCCCGCCTGGGTGATAGAACAAGACTGACTCCAAAAAAAAAAAGTTACAAAAATACACTGACGGGAGTGCATGTTTTAAGAGCACCATGATGGCGGTTCTTCACTTTTGGCAGTGTCAGGTGCTGCGGAAACGGCAGCTCACCTCAGAGGGCATGAGCTTGCGAAGCCTTAATAAGCCCACAATCCCAGACTGTCATTTCACTTCCTAGTAGAGAGGTTGAGGCAACCACATGGGGCCTGAGCCCAAGAGGCCATGTAGGGAACCCAGGAGAGGAGGGGCTCTGGGTACCTTGAACTTGGTGGGGTGGTTGTCCGAGACGCTGTCTCTGTACAGGCAGCTGCAACAGCTCCCCATTGTGTCAGAGCAGCCAGCCCGCCCTAGGGAAAAACATAAGGAACAAGCAGGTCACCAACATCAGCTCCAGAAGTCCTGCTCTGGAGCACTCAGGCAGAAGCCCCTTACTGTGATCCCCTATTCTGTCCTGAAGGCTGTGGGACACAGACCCTCCCTCAAGGGATTCACACTCTCCATCCAGAGCCAGACACACATTGGCTAAACATTAATTCAAGTTAGAATGTGTTAAGGATTAATGTGACGGGGGTTGGAGAGAGCTTCTCAGAGGTAACACTGGATTGGACCTTAAGAAGTAAGCAGGATTTTGACCCATGTAATGACAGGGAAAGGAGACCTAGGCAGGAGGAAAGGCATGGATAAAGGTAGGAGCCCAGAAATGGTCTGCAGCAGACGGGGCTGGGTACCAGCCTGAGGCCCTCATTCAGATTCAGCAAGGAAACGGTCACATGGAGTCCCAGACGCTTTGGGCTGTACCTTTCTCTTTTTTCCTCCGGTTTTACCTCACCCGTTCCACTTCAACAAAGTTCTCCCTTTTCCTCCCTCACCACCATCTCAACATCCACCTCAAATTCATCTTTTTGATGTTCTCTTCAAATGAGTTGTCACACTGTGTTCATAAAGATACGTTAAGAAGATTGAGCATTTAAAACAGAGCACAATTTTTATGACCTCGATTGAGTATTTCTTCATTAAAAAGAAAAAGTGCTGGGCTGACTCCCTTTTGTCCAGAGGGAAGACCAGAGGCCTCACTGTTTAGCTCTTCCCACCAGGATTCTGGTACTTGGATTATATGTCAGAAGGATCAAACCCAGGCTTGAACGACGAATGGGAACAAGAAAGGGATGAACCAATCCCAACAAGAAGTTCCAAGGGGCTATGACTTGCTGCTATCCTTCTAGAACACCTGCTGAATGTGTAAAGCCTTGAATAATCCAGCAATCTGTACCCTCTGTTCCTCCCAACTTGGGAAACTCCATAAAAGTGACTTCTATACACAGCTCTTACCTCACCCAGGCCATCGGGGAGCTGACCATGGGAGGGGCATGGGGAAGGATTCCCACTTTATTCTCCCCGTCCTTGGTGGGATGTCATGGCAAAGAGTCTGCAGAGAAGTCACGTGGATCCCTCTGGGACACACCTGGGGGTCACCTAGCATAGGAGACAGAGACCGCTGATTAATGGAAAGCTTCTCTCCTCACCCCCAGCTGTTAATGAAACTGACTTGCTGTCAGCCCATCCCACCTGGATATCTGTTCCAGGCTCTAACAGGACAAAAACACCAATAAAGAGAGTGAGACCAAGGGCAAAGGCGACACAAATTCCAAGCCCAGAGATTCTGAGAGAGACAGACTCTCGCAGCATCAATGAGTTTGAAGTCTGAGATAGCCCAAGACCTTTGAAGTCACCTTAGATTTCCTTCTGAGTCCTGTTACAACCAACACCAAAACACTATCTTCCCTCTGCAGAGAACTTTAACTCTCAAAAGGACACTATAAAATAGTGGAAAGTGCACTGGTTTAAGATTCAGGAAATCAATAGTCTAGTCAGTTTCGTTGTTACGAAGTACCTGGGAGACTGTCAAGCCAATCCCCCCGCCCCCTCCAACTCCCATCCAAGGCCTTAGTTTTTAGGGGAACCATCTATAAACTGTGGAGCTTCTAGCTTAAATAGCGTCAAGGTAAGTATGCAAGACAAACACCACTGAAACAGATATTTTCCTCTTGCAGGACAGGAGCCTTCAATGTCACATTTGGCAACTTGATAAACTTTCTTTTCCCCAAGCTCTAAAAGGCCTCGTTTTGACATGTTTATAAGAAGTCAAAATTTCAGGGCATCTGAGTCACAAGTAGACAAGCCTACAAGCCAGGACGCTGGAGACCCTTGAAATTTCACCCTACTGCTCTGGAAAAACAATACTCCCCAGGGTCCCTTGCAGCCTGTACCCCTGGACAATTTCCAGGTAAAAGGACCCCCATCTCCTTGGTCTGGCTTATTCTCTGGAAGGAGGAAACAGGCTGAGGGAGGTGTGCACAAACTGGACAGGTCGCTAGGAAGATACTGGCGCTTGAGTCACCAGGGGGTGGGGGTGGGGGTGACAAAAATGTCCAGGTGCAAGATGGAGGAGGGGTGCACTTTTCCTATCACCATCTCTTTAAGATACTACGATGTATCAGCTAGCCCACTGAGGAAGGATTACATTGGGTGGGATGGGAAGGGCCTCTGGTCTGGGACAGGTGTGGACTAGGGGCAGGCGTTAGTGTGATGGGAACTAAAAACGTACGAAAAGGCTTGGGAGAACGTGGGCAAGAATTCTGGATGTGGGCATTTTGGACAGTACATGGAGAACGGGGGATATGAAGGATCGGAGGCATTTCAGGGCGGTGGAAGCCTTGGGGGGCGTCCAGGAGAGAACGATGGGTCTGGGGCATTATCCGGGGGTCTGTCGCGTTAGCGAGGGGGTTCTGAGGGCTTCTGGAGACGCGAAGGTGTGCCCTGGGGGGACGGGAGAGGGTGAGGTTTAGGGAGATTCGGGCTGCAGGACTGCCAAGGGGAATTTCCAGACTCCCATAAGGAATGGGGAGGTCGGGGCGAGCGCTGTCCGTGGGTCGCCACCCCCAGCCCCGGGGTTCCACCGCCCACCCACCCGGGGCTTCCTAGGCAGGGAGCGGAGAATGCGGCGCGGCGCGGCCTAGGTGGAGCCGCCTCGTCCCCGCCCCGCCGCACCCCGACTCACATCGCCCCGCGGCCCGGGCGGCGCCGGGCCCCGCTCCCGGGTCCCACTGCAGCAACCGCCGCCCGCCCGGAGCTAAGGCCTCCCCGCCCCGCC